CCCACCTCTGTCTAAAAAACAATCTTTACTATTCTATTTCATCAGAAACGATCTTAAAACAGGGCTTTAATTGTAATATACCGAACTTGTCCTTTAAGTCAAATCTATTAACTGGTCCAAATTGTCATAATTAAAGGGTTAGTTCACCCAAAAATGAAAATTAAGTCATTAATTACTCACCCCCATGCTGTACCAACCCCGTAAGACCTTCGTTCGTCTTCGGAACACAAATGAAGATATTTTTGATTAAATTTGAGAGCTGTATAACTACCACATTGGCTCCTAAGGGACTGCCTCTTGACGGGCCCAAAAAGTCAATGAAGAAAATGTTTAAATATCCAAGTGACTACCGTGGCTCAACTATATGTTTATCAAGCGACGCGAATACTTTTTGTGCGAAAAAACAAACAAAAATAACGAGTTTATTCGACTATTTCTTTTCTTCCTTGTAGGCCAGAACGAGACTTCCTTAGATTTTCCACGACGCATGCGCGAGATTTGCGATCTGCTCACACCAGCTTCACTACTTCAGATCGCAATTCTCGCGCATGCGTCATGGAAATCTATAAGGAAGTCTCGTTCTGGCCTACAAGGAAGAAAGAAATAGTCGAATAAACTCGTTATTTTGTTTGTTTTTTCGCACAAAAAGTATTCGCGTCGCTTGATAAACATATAGTTGAGCCACGGTAGTCACTTGGGATATTTAAACATTTTCTTCATTGACTTTCTGGGCCGTCAAGAGGCAGTCCCTTAGAAGCCAATGTGGTAGTTATACAGCTCTCAAATTTAATCAAAAATATCTTCATTTGTGTTCCGAAGACGAACGAAGGTCTTACGGGGTTGGTACAGCATGGGGGTGAGTAATTAATGACTTAATTTTCATTTTTGGGTGAACTAACCCTTTAACTATATCAAGTTGTGATTGAATATTAATATTTTTTTTAGCTAATTTGTAACAGGTTACATTTTTTTAATAAAAATTTGATCCCAACAAATTTGGGTTGAAACAACGATTTTTGAGTGTAGTAATATGTTTTTTATTCAATTCAATAAAGTTCAAATTCATTTGTATAGCACTTTTCACAATACATATTGTTTCAAAGCAGCTTTACAGAAAGTGTATTTCAGAAATGTACATAGAAAAATGGACTCCATTTATATAGCGCTTTCACAGACCCAGTGGCCACCAAAGCGCTTTACATTTTGCTTCACATTCACCCATTCAATCACTCATTCATAGACCGACGGCGGTGTCAGCCATACAAGGCTCCATCCAACTCGTCGGGAGCAGCTGGGGTTAGCTCAGCTGTCTTGCTCATGGACACCTCGACACTTGGCCAGGTGGAACTGGGGATTGAACTACCAACCTTCTGGTTTGTAGACAATCTACATGAGCCACTGCCCCCCCACTGTGTTCTGAATTAGTTAACAATTTATTAATGTAGTAGAGCATAACATATCGCCGGCGTTGAATCGTCTCTTCACAGGAGTTTAGTCATCTCATCGCAGGTGTTGGGGCATCTGAAGTCTCATGAGAGGCAGGATGCAAACTGGAGCTGACAAACGCTATTTACCACAGGACTAGTGTCCTGAGATAACAGCAGAA